GCAGAAACTTATTGATAACTTTATTGCTGCGCTACCGCGATTTTAGAAAAGACACCATTAAATATAAATAACTGTATTTCAGGGAATATTTTTGACATTTATGTTGTATAAAAGTAAAATTATTTTTATTATACCTAAAGAACCCATCATTATTAGCCTGATTTTAAGATGCACTGTTTTTTACAAGTACATATATTTGATGCTCTAAGTCGTGGTGCAAAAAACGATAAAATCAGAACTATTTTTGTTTTTGATATAAGAGCATTTGGTATTACCTTTTCCTTGTGATTAAAAAATACTCGCACATAAGAAATCAGAAGGTTTTATTGTAATTTTAAGACATTTGAGTACCTGAAAATTTATAAAATTCGGTTGTATTTTGAAAGTTAAAAAAAAATGCATATCTATGGTTTATTTTGGAAGTGAAAGTAATATTGTTGTCTAGCCAAAATTTATAAAACAACATATTGTAATTAAGAAATATAAGTATATGGACTAAGTTAATATATCTATAAAGACCAAATCGTTATGTATCTCTCTGGTTGTGTAATATTTACAAAAAAGAGAGAAGATAGTTACAATGGAACTTCACGAAAACTGATTTAACCTTATTAGTGAAATCCTTTGTTAACAAAAACATTAAAGAATTTAAATTATGAGGACAAGGATAATAGAATTCAATATCCTTTGAAGGAAATAAGAGAAAAGTTTTGAGTATTTCACAAAGAGGAAGCAAATCTGATTGAAATAATGCTAAAGTCATAAACAAGATATCGAATTCGTTAACATCAAATGCAAATGGAACGCTATTTGCTTATTGATGTGATATACAAATAGTCAAAAGAAAATAAATAAAAATATTCCATAAATAAATAAATATATTCTAAATAAATATTCTAAATACAATAATTTTACTATTTTTAATATTTTAACCAAAAAAAAAAAAAAAAAATAATAATAAGAACCAACAACAAATTCTAATGAATATGAGTGCAAAATATGAAGAAAATTAATTATCCTTATTATTTTCGATAATATCAGTAAATACTCACACGTATTCTGTTATCTTAAACCACATAATTTATGCATGTCAGGAAGGTGTTGAAACTTTCTCTGAGCTATTTTGTGAAATAATATTGAGTAAATATTCATTGTCAAAGATGAATGGAGGCATTAGTATAACAACAACATTTATCTCAAAATGTTAAGTTAATTTTGCAAATTACTGTTGACAAGCATGTATGTCTCTTATATAAATTTACAGAACTGATTGTCATCAAATTGAAATACTGCAAAACTGATTTGTGTATAAATCTGTCAAGAAGTCTGTAAAATAATATGTTAGCACTTTATTATTACCAAAAGTGAGTCACCGAATTTAGAAAAAAAATATAAATACTTTAGTTTTGGCAAGGTAATTAAAGATGTATGATGCTTTAATAATGATTTTATACATCGTATAAATCATTTAGTTCATTTAGGATATCGTTAGTTTACAGCCGTTCAAGCTTTCTCTGGCTATGTGGCAACTGGTATGGTAAAACGACTAATTGTTACAGATTTATTGAAATTAATGTGATAATGCATAACGCGATTCACAATTATATATAACTGTACTCGACTCATTTATATGGTAAAACATTCTGAATTCATAATTTGTAAGTGAATTATACTTTATTTTAAATTTTAACTGTTTGGTTGGTTGCAGTGTCAGACCATTTGATAACATCCATGTACCTCAATACCCTAGTATGGAAGAGTAAAGACTTAATCCATTCCAACGAATTAAGATAATTTAATAGGTCTTTTGTCTTCACCGATAAACAGTCAGTTAAACTTTCAAAGAAGTATCTTTCTAAGAACCTATATCTTCTGGACGCCAAAACCAGGCATACACAGAGAATATGTGTTATGACTTCTTTTTCCTGTGTGTTTCCACAACTTCTGTAGTGATGATTATGAGGCTTGCGCAGTTTCTGTGCATGGGTTCCCATACACATATGACCAGAAAGAACTGCAGTAACCCTTGCAGTGGTCACGCGGTCTCTTTTGATGAGTAATAAGGATCGATTTTTGTTATATGTGGGCCATATTAACCTGTAAGTTGCACATAACTTAAGTTATTTCACATCTGTTATTAGCAAGTTGCAGAAAGTAGAAGAAGGTATTTCGTTTAATGGTCTCTAGGGTAATATAAATCGGTAGCACCAGGGACACATCCAAGGAAGCACCAGAGCGGGCTAAACTGTCAGCTTTTAGGTTCGCTTCGGTGTTCCTATATCCAGGAACGCAGCTCAGGGTGATATCAGCCAAACTTAAACTTTTAATTAATTAATAATAATTAATAATTAATTGCAATAGTTATTAATGTGTACTTAATATCTTTATTTTCTTCAAAAAATGGGAAACTGCACTCTTTCCATATATTATGTTTCCACTTATTAAAAATTATATCACTCAGAAAAATATGCTCTTATCACATACTTCATAATTAAATTGATCCGATCATTTCGTCAAAAAAATTTTAGTTCATGTATTAAGGAAGATATGAAAACCAACATGCGGTATGGTTGAATAAAAATGGTGCCTCGAGAAAGAATATTTTAACTGGAAATTTAGTTAAAATTTGGTAATATCAACGAAATTATTTTTCAGAGTGTAGTTCTCTTGTTCAACGCAAATATAGGAATGTATATGCGATGGTATATCTAAAAGTAATGTTTCGACAATTTCATTTGTCAAATCAATAGCAGCAATAATATTTTTCACTTCTGAAGATAATAGATATTTTATTTGTTTTTAAATTATTTTTCACAACTGAACAGACAAACAAAACCACAATACCGCAACAACTGACAGCATCAGTGAAAATTCTTCAAATATTTCTTAAACGATTTTACCCGAGTATATGGAAATTCAGACTAAATAAAAACAAAATAATTTGATTTTGCAAATAACCGCAAAATTGGTTTTTTAAATAAAATTATTTTATCAATTTTAAGCTTATGTTTAAATAATTGAAAAATGTATTTTCGAAACTGAAAGCGATTTAAGTTTCTAATACTTCACTTTGCGAATAACAAAAAAAAAATGTTTTTAAACAATTTATGAAACTTGAAACAATTAAAATTTATTTAAATAATTTTTTTATTTTTTATTTTCATTAAAAAAAATATTTACAGAAAAAGAAGATAATAATTACATATGTAAAATTACAAGCTAAAGTTAAGTGTAAAGATGTACCTTCATTTGAGTTAATTATTTTATATATTCACCAATCACTGTTTTAAAATCATACTTTTTAATTCTATGAATTACTTAGTTTATACTAAGTCAATATTTGATAACTTGAAGTATACACAAATAGATAAATAATATATTTAACAGGTGTATGTATAAGTTTATTCCGGTTTGACTAAGAGAGTTCAAGTGCAAACGGGTAGATTAAAAAGCTGAGTTCCACTCGACTTAAATGAATGTCAAATGGAAAATCGTAAAGTCACTTGTGAAATGCTATTTCAATGCGACGAAGAAAATCATTTTTGTGTTGAATTATTACTGATAAAATAGATTTATTTTAAAAACCCGAAGCGTGAAAAATCGTAGGTTTTATTGGCGAAACCGGTGCTCCAACATTAAGGTCGAATCGCTTGACAAGAAGACCACGCTTTCTGTCTGTTGGAATGGTATTGTATATTATGAACTTTTAAAGTCTACCACTGCACAATACCACTGCCAATAAATATTTCATTTAAATCACGTGTTGATCGAGAGAAGACTCACTTGTGGCAGGAGACATGACAAAGTGATTTCATTATACTACAATGCGCCGTCTCTCACAGCAAAACCATTCTAAAAGAATGTGAATTCTTTTGAATGCGATATGCTTTCGCACCCATGATACTACCAAGACCTTTCGCCGTCTGACTTTGACCTCTTCGCATCAATGTGGCAAGTGCTTGTAGAATAGCATTTCAGAAGAAGATAGAAAATAGATTTATGAATGATTTCCCGCAAAAGACAAACAGTTTTTCCACCATGGTATTCAAAAATTAACTAATAAGTGGGTTAAATATGTAGAAGCAAATGGACAATTGGACAATTTCCTTTTAAAAATTATGTGATTTCTTTAGCAAAAAAAAAAACCCGGAAAGAACTTATGCATACACCTGGTAAAAAGATATGCATTTGTTTATTTTACTTTTATATATTTTATTTATTTTTGTTTAACAAATATTTGTAAACATTTTTAATTAAACATTTTTGCACTTAAATTGTGTAAAGAAATTTCTAATAATGTTTCTTAAATTTTGCAACTTTGTAGTTTTATTTATAGAAAGATATATTTATAATTTGAAATAAATTTTTGTTTTTAAAAACTAATTTTCAATTTTCTCCGTGTATATTTGTTCACAAAAATATTTCTTGAAGAATTTTCTCTATTCTTAATATAGTTTATTGATATTTTACATTTAATAGCAAAGTTTTAATATTTAATTACATTGACTTACAGACTACACAATTGTAACAAAATAACATGTATGTATATGTGATATTACTTGTTTATTATATTAATTCGGGTATATTGTATTTATTACATAAATCAGGTTAAATGTCTATTAAATGTTTGCTGAGATAGATATATGTATCTAGTTATAAATATGTCTTGATGCTTATTTTAATATGTGTAGCACATCTACAGTTGTGTTTGTATATACTATATGTATAAGAGTGTAATAAACAATTCAGGCATTAACTAAATATGCATTAATAATTACATACAATTTTATAAGTTTTACTTTAATTGTTGATATATGTTATGTATGTCTTGAAGTCACATTTAAAGGACTTTCTCGGTAAATTTATTAATTCGACAATATTTATAATTTTGCATTAAATATTTCATATGTATTTCGTAAGCAGATATGTAATTTCATATAATAAAATATTTTTATAACACTGAGTTTTAGTTTAATATATTTTAATTCTTAAAACTGCACATAAAAATTTATAGATTTTCTGTTGTCAAATTATTTTCACGAAATGAATCGTTCAAATTATTTATTTCCTTCACAAACCACAGCAGCTGCGCCATACTTTTTATTGTCACTAAGTGACGCGCTCATTGCCAGCGGATATGCTTCATTCAGTTGAATCGGTTGTTGAATCGCAATCCTTGCTTTTACTTAACCGCTCCGAAAATAGCTGACAACGCTGCCATTCTACTACTTTTCAAATATTTATTCATTAAAGTCGTTTACTTCGCATACATACACACGCATAAAGTCACCAATTCGCTCTCGTTTACGTTTCCTATGCTTGATCCAATAATTTTATTTTTTTTTGTTTTATTTTTCGGATTTATTTTCTTATAGAATTTTCATACATTTTTTTTTGGCTTGTAACGCCCTTGATGCCATGTTCTGCTCTTGGTTGTATTTCAGTTGTTGGCCAGTGTTGCCGATAAGCGCGTTTTTTCTTCTGTTATGTGCGTTGCAGTTGTTGAACGTGCTGTTGCTTGTGAGATGGGCGCATGTATACAGTTTGGTATCCGTGTTCCTGTTTTTGTTTTTGTTTTTGTGTTTGTTTCTGTTGTTGTTCATGTTCATGTTCATGCTGAACTTGGTGTAGTTTTGTGGTTGTCCTGCTGCCACTGTGATAAACAATTCTGTTATTTTTGTTGCTTTGTCTGCTTTCCGGATACGGTATTATGTCTGGTTGGTATTCACCAGATGCAGCTGAATAGTCATAACGATTTTTCGCGTTATTAATGTTGTTACTGTCGTCATTATTATTTATATTGTTGCTACTATTGTTATTTTGGTTGTAGTCATCAGTTTTGAATTTATCATTATAATTGTTGTTGTTAAGTTGTTGTGGGTTGTTGCAATTATTCTGTAATTATAAAAGTAAAGTTTTTATTAATTTCTTGTTAAAAATATCAAAGCGTTTTGTGATACTAAATAATTCACAATTAATACACATAAACGCTTAAGGACAATATTTAAGTGACATATAGTATAGTAATTGAGATATTAAGAACTTCTCAATAACTTTGTTTTTACCGAAAAAAAAGCATTACTGAGGTGAATGCAACCCTGCTAGGCAGGACGACAGGTAGAAAGAAGCCAGTAGGATAGATAAACACGCACAATCGGTTTAAGTATATAAAATAATGACAAATTGTTTGTGAAATAATATGAATAGTAAGTGAAACTGTCAATTGAATACTTAAAAACTTTCGATTTATGTAAAGGTTACATTTTTATTATTCAAAATTGTGTCTATATCATTCCTGTTCTTTTGTAAACATATCACAAAAGAACAATATAATAAAGCACTACTTTTGATGGTGGCTCTGGAAGAACTGAACATTTTGTTAGATCTATAACTGCAAAACACTTTATAAAATTTAAAGTTTCGAAAATGAATAGTTATTGTTTGCAATTATGAGTAAAAACATTTTATTTTTTACATGATTCTGAGTAACATTTGTATTTTCAGGATTTTTCAATGTTAACAGAGAAAGGTAAGTGAATTAAGTATTATTTGTCAAATATTTGTTGACAGTAAACTAGATATTTTGTACGTACTTCCAAAAACCGTTCACAATAGACGAATTTTTAGTATTGGCAACCATGTAATTTGAGTTGCTTATTAGTTAGGCCGTTTCAAAAAATGTTGACTAAATAAGCCAACAGTGTTGTTGTTTCATATTTTATTTTTGAAATTAGCGGTTATTCTTTGGTGATATGCTTACAAAAGAAAAGGCTTATTACATCTTTCTAGAACAAAGTTGTAGTATTTTATATGTAACAAAACAAAACTTTAAATATTAAATATTTTTATATGTAATATTAACTGTCACTGAAACTTATTCTTGATTTCGTCAGCAAAACAATTTTAAAACAAAAAAATTTGTATAAGAATCTTAACACTGATAATAAAATTGAATCATAATTTCCACAAATTCAAGTTAATTTAAATTGTAGAGATCACCGAAGTACAGTATTGTACAGTACAAACTTATGCTATTGTGAATACCTTTGAGGATTAAATTAAATATAGAAATTAATGCAAAATTGAACAGAACTGTTATTTATCATATATACATATCATATGTATAAAGTATTTATGTATATATGTGTAAAGTATTTATTATATTGTTGCGAAGATACAATTCGATTTAAGTTAACTGAGATAATTTTGAATTATGTCAGTTAGATAGTAAATAAGTTTTTTAAATGTAGTTGGTTAATTTTAGGAGAATACAGTGGTTGGTTATTTTAAGGAATAAAGTTGTGTGTTTTTCAGAATATAAATAACGGTTATAATTAATACAAGCTTAACATTATTCACTTATCAGGATCCAGTGTTATCGAACGAAGCGTTAGAATAAACGTAACAATATGTTTATATCACATATGCAAAATAAAGATTTTGTGAAAGTAGTTAAGAAGTGTGGACATATGATAAATATGACAATCAAATTACAATGATATATCATATGAATTGATATATTTTCTAATGTTAATTTAAAATTTTGACTGCTGAAATTGCAATCAAATCTTTCGTGCGAATCCAGCATTAACCATCATTGAGTTATTTAATAATGGATAACATTTTGCCCAATCCTACATATATTATTCGAATTTAAATACTATGTTTAAAACGGAAACGAATTAAGATTTCACATGAGAATGAATAAATAGTCGGCGATATGTGGGGTAACTTTAATCAAGAATTGAAACTTCGAACTAAATGTTAAATTTTTAATATTTATCAAATCACACATAATAAAAACCAATTAAATGCTTAAATTAGTTTATGAAACCGTCAACAGATATCAGCAAAAAAACTGTGTACAGAAAGTCAACGTAAAATTGTTTTTATTATGAAATCACTGCACTTAAGCACTTTTACTCTTTCTTAACTCGAGGTATTTTCAAAACCCCTCTTTACACCTTTACTGAATTATTGTTTATCACTTCATCAGACTAAGCAATAATTGACCTCAGATCTGCATACCTCCCCGAGGAGCTTGTAACCATTCTGAGATTTGATAACGCAGTGTTGGTAAGTCTGTCAGTTTTTGCAAATAATTTCAGGGCTCTATCCTTTATGTATTTTTTTATGGGATCAATCTTGAGGTCTCTGAGAATGTCATTCATCCTAATGTATTTTCAAAATTTGACATAACAGTTAATTCGCTGAATTAATTTTACAAATATTATATCTAAAAATTTATATTAAGATTATTTTATAAAAACTACAATTATTTGATTATTATAATTTATTTAATAACTGAATATATAACACCACACAAAAAAAAACTACCCACATTGTTTTATTTTTAGTATCTATTTTAAATAATTTTAAATTAATTGTGGCTCAATTGTGGTTTACAATTAATTAAAATAATTTTTAATATTTTTTTATTATTGATTAAACCAAATAATAAAAAATTAATTAATCAAAACTTAAAATCACATACATTTACAGTTGCTTATATCTTTACAATGGGATTACTAAAACCATAAAATTTGCACGCGAATACCAAAATGATAAGATTTTGAAATTACGAGTTTGTTTATATAATTTTATTATTGGTTTTTTATTAATTATAAACAAAATGTTTATGCATTTCGTAGTTAAATGCATTGCGGAATTGTACGATATTCCAAATGCAGAAACAGAAAAAAAAAACAAAACAAAGTAATTAAAATACTGGAATTTAACTAGATTAGATATTATAATATATATATGGAATCAGAAAGTGGTATACCAAAGTGATAAGACTTTAATCAAATTAATATTATCTTTCTTTATTTTGCCAGTTGCTTAACTAGCAAAAAAAATTTCTGACAAAAACATATGTCGGAATCGGCGTTTCATATTGCAGCTATATGTAAATTTGAACCGGTATGAATAAAATTTTGTGTATTCTTTATATATTCATATAAACTGTAAATAGTTAAATTCTGTAACAAATTTAAACTGGAATATTTATATTAAAAACGACAAAACCAGATTTCCGAATATTCGGTTTATATGGCAGCTATAGGTTATAGGATTCCGGTTTTGGTCATTCCGTGAAATGATAAGGTCTGCTCTCGAAATGTATCTCTTTCTTTAGGTTAAGTTAAAGACTGCGGGATAAGCTTGGCTCGTCGTTTAACTCGTCGAGCTGACTAAAAATATACAATATGTACTTAATGGAATCTACTACGCTTCTTTAATTACGTTACAAAAATGTTAACGCCTAAAATACTCTATTTACACTTATTTGTCTAAAGAATATAAAAATAAATTTTAATCAAACTCAATAAATATTTCAAAACTTTAATACATATAGCAATTATTTAACAAAATGTATATTATGCTATTTATTATAAGAATAGAACTAAATGATCACGCTATAGTAATCATTTTAAATATTTATTATATCAATTTACAGTACATATAATGCAGTTTTCCTAATACAACATTTTTTAAAAATAAATTGTCTTTATTAATATTAAACTAATTATTAATGTCTGTTTTGTGGAACGAAACTAAATGCTTAATATAAACTATTGCTTTGAATAGAGAGGTATTTTGAACTATAGTAAATTACAACAACACAAAAAAAATCGACCCGAGTTCGATTCCTGGTACTTACAGTCTCAAAAAATAATTATTAAATAAATTAAATACAAGAATTATTTCCAAGACCACTGATGAAGGGTATTTGGCAATACTCGAAACAGCTGTATAGTCAGCCAAAAATTCAGTTAATTAAAATAACATAAAAAAAATAGAATTTCTGTTGTTGTAGTTCTCTACTGTTCGAAAAAACCTCTTTATTAAAATTTTATTAATAATAAAAATGTATTATATACATCTAATATGTATCCATATGTGTTTATTATGCGATTCTCATCACTATTTACTTAAAATCTTTAATACGCTTACTATATAGTTTTTTATTAATAACTATTTACTTATTAAATTAAAAACCTAACTTGTTATAAAATATATTAAATTTCCTAAACTACACACAAATAGTTTGCATTTATGAAAACTGATAAGACGAAAATATTAAGTAGTGCAACAAAATTTTAGATTACATTTTAATCAAATAAATTATAAGGCAATTAATTATTTATGAGGCTTATCTCTTATGCTTATACTACAAATATATATATACATATTCACCGTCAATAAATCTGTTAATTATAATTCACACATATTTTTAACAATGTAGCGTGATGCACTGTTCGTAGTTGCCAACGAAGTAAAATGAAAATATACCACCTAAGCGAAACTATCTCAAACGCGGCGTTACTTACACAAAGATATCTGTATCTCAAACTATATTAGGTTTATTGTGTATTTTGTAAAAATATGCACACTCTCTTCCACATACAAAAATGCTAATCGCTCTAAATTTATCAGCAACAAAAGAAAGCGCAGAAAGAAAACATAAATGAGCGGAGTGACGACAACATTTTCAGTTGTTGATGACACGTCGAATTCGCAGAACATAAGTCGATTTTTGCGTTTGTGTTTACGTTTTATTCCAGTTTTGTAAAATATCTAAACAAAAAAATCTATCTCTATCTTTTGATATTATCGCTTAATTAAATAGTATAGAAATGAATACTATAAGAAATTCAAAAACCGCAAGAATTGTTATTATTGGCGCGGGACCGTCTGGCATAGCTGCTGCTACAAAACTAATTAAGTCTGGCTTTGAGAATGTTTTAGTCATTGAAGCTGAGAGCCGAGTAGGAGGTCGAATATATACAGTGGATTTCGCTGACAATGTTGTGGATCTGGGCGCACAATGGTGTCATGGTGAGAAAAAGAATGTTGTTTATGAATTGGTCAAAGATTTGAATCTGCTGGAAACGACTGGTACTATTTATGATGATTACGTTTGTATACGCTCAAATCGTGAAGTTCTATCGGATGATGTTGCAGATGTACTTAAAACAATTGCATTCGAAACCATACCTGAACGGCAGAAAGGTTTATTAAAGTATGAAGGCTCTTTGGGATCTTATTTGGTAGAAACTTATTGGCGTGAATTAGAAAAAAGTCCAAATATAGATCGCACAATTGCACATGAGTTTCTGGATAATATGAAAAAATTCGAAAACTCTGTAGAGGCATCAGATACGGTTTTCGAGGTCTCTGGTCAGGGACATTTGGATTATTGGATTTGCGAGGGTGAATTATTATTAAACTGGAAAGATAAAGGATTCCATACACTATTAAAACTTTTAATGAAGTCTAAAGGAAATGAAACAAATGATTTGGGCATACTTAATAAGCGTGTGATATTAAATAAAAAAATCGAACACATTGCTTGGCAAAAAGGTGATGAAGCTATTATAAAATGTGTTGATGGTCAACTCATTGAAGCGGATCATATCATTTGCACAGTCTCACTGGGTGTACTTAAAGAAAACTATAAGAAAATGTTTACACCGCTGTTGCCACCAGCAAAGTGTCGTGCTATTGAGGGTCTTAAATTGGGTACTGTTAATAAATTTTTCATGGAATTCAAAGTACCATTTGGACCACCAGACTGGACTGGTTTTATGTTTTTATGGACACAAGAAGATCTTGATGAATTACGAAATACTGATTATTTCTGGTTAGAGAGTGTTTTTGGCTTTTTCCGCGTTTCATATCAGCCTCGCATATTAGGCGGTTGGATTATAGGACCACATGGTCGTCATATGGAAACACTCACTGTTTCAGAAGTTCAAAAAGCTATATTATGGTTATTTAGAAAATTCTTTACATTCCCTATACCAGAGCCTATTAATTTTATGCGTACTCAATGGTATTCTAATCCCAACTTCCGTGGTAGCTATACTTTTCGTTCAATGTATACCGATGAGTTACGTACTGGTGCTTGGGATTTAGCTTCACCGTTGACTAATGGCGCTGGCAAGCCAGTATTACAATTCGCTGGAGAAGCAACTCACACACACTATTACTCAACAGTACATGGTGCGGTAGAGAGTGGTTGGCGTGAAGCGGAACGCTTAATTGCATTCTACCAAAGCAGACCCTCGCAGCTGTGATGGGGAAATATGATAAGTACTTTACTTGGTAGTACTTTACGTTTTAAAGCCGATAGAATGTCAATGGCAAATGTGTTAAAAAGAAACTTTTATGGCAAACTTAAAGATAAGTTTTAATTAAGATTAGTAAATAAAAGTAATGATAAACTGAAAATAGTAAAAATTATTTCAATTAGCAATAAAATTTTCGCAAATCGTTAGACACATACTGTTTACTTTAAAGCAATATTTATTAGATTTCAAGCTCTAAAGTATGTGGTTTGGTTGTTTGGTTGTTTGATTGTTTTCATACTAATTAATTGAACTAGTAATAAACAGTATTGATTACGCATATCATAGCTATTTCTTGACAATTAATTATAATTAATTAATTTTTAAACATTTTTCACTGCTACTTTAATAATTTTTTATGGCATAATATGGTTATTATGCGACATTCAATTATAGTCTTTTAAATAGATAGATTGTAAATATAAATTTACTAAAGAAAAATATAATATACTTCTGAAATTTTAATGTTTTTTTGGAAAATTCTTTATAATATTCTGAAATTAAGTAAATGTCATACACAGTAGTATTTATCTTTACATAATAGTGCAAAAAGAGATAAAATACATAAAGAGCTCATAAATATACTACAAAAAAGTACGCTTCGAGACAATTTTAAATTAAATCACTTAAGCATCGAATGAATAAATAAGTTATAAAAAATAAAAATGGTAAAACTCATTAAGTTGAAAAATGCATACGGATAAGTTATGACTACCTTTGCTCAGATAAATAAAATTAAAGATACATATAAACATGAAGTACTTGTGTACTCATGTATTTTTAAGGATGCGTACAGTTGCAATAAATGATAAAAAAAAAAAAAAAAAATAAACTACAGTAGCAACAGTAGAACAATCAACATCGTGCGAGCTTTGTTGCTAACTCTAATCTGCAACTAATCCAGCTGGTGCACAGTGTCATTGTGGCAAAATTTATAAGCTTCCCTGTAGCTGTGGTTAGGTTGTATAAAATTTGAATTTTAAATGGCAGAGGAAAGATTTGGATGAAGGTGCTTTTGTTTGCAGAAAATACTTGAAAAGATAAGTTAGCAATTTTTAAACATAAAAACTTATAAAACAAGTCAGACAGACAGACAGTTTTGCTTTAAAGATAATTTAGTGAATCCCAACCAAATATATTCCGAATCTACAAAATAGTTTTTCCTTGTGTTAATTGAAGTGCATTCAATAATATTTTATTAACATTTTAAAACTAAAACTTATACGTATCTCGATAATATTGTTTTTGTGCAGAATTTTTATTACATTGTAAAATCTTTTTGCATATGAAAGTATAAGATATATAAAGTATATATAATTGAGCTAACTATGCAATTTATTTGTTTTTTGTTGCTGTAAATAAATACACATTTATTGTGTATGTTTTAGTAGTATCCGTAGCAATTTAATAAAATAAAGTCATATAAGTTAGAAAATGCAGGAAACGGATATGAAAATGTTTCTCGTGATGTCATTATCATTTCTAAGGACACTAAAATACACAAGCACATTTATTTGTTTGTTGCATACTCGGGAATCTGGCTCTGGTAACGAGAATCTGAATAGACTTTGGTATTTGCAACACGTACAACAATTACAATTTGTTATTTTCATAGCCTTGCAATGTGTATGTGACATTTTGTATTAAATTTCCAAGCAAAATTATTTCAACCATTTTTTGTGACTTTAAATTGAAATTTATTATCTAACAATTTTGTAATGTTGGCAATTGTCTGACAATTATCTCTTTAAGAGCAATGAAAGTTCATTTATTATGTTTATATTAAATATTGACTTCATTTGAAATAGGATATATGTACATATATATGCTGAAAGAAGAATAGTTATTAGTAACAAAATTTTTTTATTATGCATTATTAGTTTGAATTTTAAGAGTTTAAGGTAATATGGACGAAAAGACACTACCTACATTTATATTTATATTTATTAATTAATTACTATGATTACTATTAATTATAAACAGAATTCAAGAACTTAGTCTATTCACATATGCTTTCCAGACACCCCTATTACTGGCTAACGCTCTCAGCTAGCTAAATGATTTGTTAGTTTCGCTATTTATCGATCTTCTCCATGTAGTTTCTGGCCGTCCACGATTCCTTTTACCTTGTGCGTTCCATTCTAATGCTGAGTGTGCAATTTCACTTTCACCTTTTATATATATCTCTTTAAAATCGTAAAGTTTTAACTACCAATGCAAAATAATACAATATTAGGCATTTTCTTTTGTAAGTATATCACAAATGAACAACAATTAATTTAAATAAAAGAAATACAAAATGAATATTAGAAGGGCACGGGTAAGCACTTTTATCTTTTGTATTTAAATTAATTAATTTATTTACTTATTTAAAGGAATTAGTAAATGAAGTAACCAAAATCACGAAATTACACTTCTCCAAAACATCATATTGGGTTGTGAATTGTCCTATTCAGATGATTCTTAATCTGATAATAAATATATAACGTTTTAGATGACAAAATACTTTACAAATAAAATATTTATTCATAAAATGTTTCAATGAAAACTTTAAAAATAAAATTTTTTAATACTATATTGTTTGGTTAGTTGTATTTCAAAGGAAATTTCTCTGCAATATATATATATATATATAAAACTTTTAAAACGCTCAACAATCATAAACTAGATGCAATAAAATACACAATTTTATAATTCTCATTTGATTTCTTTTATACAAAATAATAATACAAATTTTTCTTAAATTATAATTCTCATTAGGTTATTTTATTTGCCAACATAAAGTAATTACTTTTCGGAAATTCTAAATTTCAAAATTATTACATATGATGCAATAGTTTATTTATATTTTGATTTATATAATTGAACATATTCTCGACAGATAAAGAACACATATGAAGAGGTTAAATTTTGAAAATAAACTTTAAATTAAACTTCATTAACATTTGTAACATTAATTGTTAAAATAATATGTTCATTCATTTCAAAGAAATACGCCTAATATTGTTGAACTATGGGCATGAAACCAGTTATAGCAATTACTTATGTACTACAACTAATTACAATATAAGTGTATCCATGTCACAAAACTACAATTTTTGAAACCCTGTAGTTTTTTTTATTTTTTATGCAAATCATATGCGTCTTCCTGCTCAGTTTCCAAATTTTTGTATTCTTCCCAAAACCCCTAAACCCTACATCAAAATTTCAAATTTTAACTTTTACTCACATTTTTGGCAATATAGTTTTTTCATAAATCGGCACTATTTACATATCTAAAATATCTTCTCAATTTTTGTCGTAAATTATCCAAATATACATTTTCGTATATGCTTATATTACAATAAGCTACATTTAGTGCTATCAAATCTGAGTAAATTTCTAATGTTAAAAATATAAAATATTACAACAGATGGATGAATAAGCGGATTGAGAAATGAACATATGGAAATACACTTCTTATGGCTGTTAAGAAATTTGATTGCTTATATGAAGTACATCATTAGGCTTGAAAATTTATTTTTTCAATGCATATAATATTTTTACAAAGATTGCAATCAAAATCTTAATCTTCCTAATCTTCAACGGATTTGTCTCTATGCACATATCTTAGCAGTTAAATGATAGAAAAATTCATTTTCACACACCCTTCACAACTTTATTCAGTATTTGATACAATCTCCTAATGAAAACAGATACTCTTCTGCTATAATATTTCTATAAGGTCTATACTTATTTTGGAAATTTGCATTTATATAATATCTTAACAGTTTTCAACACTGCTGCTCCTCTGATCATTGCTAATTTTTTTGCTATTTTATTTTCCTAATAAAATTAAATATACCTACAAATATTCGAATATCACTATGCAGACACCACCTAATTCCGTTTTTCTGAACTAGTAGAGATATTGCAACGAAATGTCCTTTAATATAGTTTTTGAGAGCAGCTTTCTTCTGAATGTTCCCAATCAGCTTACAGAAATCTCTCCATTATGCGACCGGAACAAAATCAAGTTTTATATTTTTTGAATTACTCAAAAACTGTAACAGATAGATGAATATAAAAGCATTTGTAAAATCACTTTAAACACATTTCAGTTTGGAATATGACTTTTTATAACCAGGCATGTGTTAAAATCAGTTACTTTATGCGTTCTTTGAAATGTCTTTCCACTTATGCATGGTGAATCATATATAAAAACTTATATTCAAATAAGTTAATGAATGATTAGAAGGGGTTTAGGAGGAGGATTGTAAGAAGTTTTATTATGGGGAAGTTTGAGAGTGTTATGAGGTTTACTATGAAAGGCATTATGAGGAATACTATGCGTGGAACTACGTGAGAGACTATAAAAATTATGAAGGGTATTATTAAGAGGACTATTTAAAGAATTTTGAGGAAAACTATAAAAGGGGTGTACTTCGAGGGTAACTATGCAAAAGACTCACATGAAAGAGACTATGAGAGAGGTCTTTAGAAGGACTCTGCAAAAGGGCTAAAAGGGGGACTATAAAGAGGACTATCACTAACTACATTTCTTTGTCCTTTGTCATCCTCTACCAAAAAAGCCGAACACGCACTTGTGTAATATATTTTCTTCTTAAATTAAGAATAAGCCATTATAGAGAGAAGCCATTATAAACATCATTCACTTACAAAACCATTCACCATCTGGTCTAAAATCAACAAGTTGCAAGTTGACGATATGTATAGTTAAATTATTTCTTTACCCAGTGTACTATCCTAGAGTGAACCCTAGTGACAACAATAGACATCAAAGAGATGATCTAAAACAGTGGTTCCGACTTTAGTGTTATTGAGTGATATGTTAGCATACATAATAACGATTATACTATTTTTTAATATTAAATTAAATCTATTTCAAGTAGTGTCCACTGCACTTATACTCTTATAATAGTATAAAATTACCGAAACCTTTTTTTTAAATATTTTAAGTAATTTTTATAGACCGATTGAACTGTTATCCTTATTCGAAGTTAACTTTCGCTATTTGAATGGCTTTTAAAAACATAATTTCAAAAAGTACGAAGGTGGTTTGATAAGTCAGTGACTTTTTGAATTTCCCGCCCAGTTACTCCAAATGCAACAGTGCTGCCGTCAGCTGTAATCTACCAGTGATCAACTTTTTAATTTTGAGCAAGTTATGCCATTTCTTTAAGTCTGGAAACAGAAAATAGTCGCAGGGGGATAAATCTAGAGAATATGCTGGATGGGGAAGCAGTTCGTATCCCAATTCGTGGATTTGGGATCGTAATGCTTATTCAGCACACGAAATTCACTTTTTTTCCATTTTCATAAAAATTCACGAGGTTGTCTGCTTTGAACGGCTATCAAACACCAACTGAACGACGTAACTTAGGTAGATTACAGCTGACGGCAGCACTGTTGCATTTGGAGAAACTGCGCGGGAAATTAAAAAGTCACTGACTTACAAACCGCCCTCGTAACCATAAGTATTTCAATATATTGCTACGTCGTATTATTTGGTTTGTTTAATAAAAACATTTTTTATTGTTATATTTGCTATATTATGTATGATATTAACAGTATATCCTTTTCTTTTAAGTACCACAGAACAATTCCATTGTTATATATATTTTCTTTGTTAATTTATATCAGCTTTCGCACAAAATTATATACTAAATCAATCTGTTTTCTTTTATGAAAACTCAATATTGACATAACTTGCAAGATTAAAAAAAAGTAGAATGAAATGACACATATTTTGTTTAATAAAATTACATTTCAGTTAAAGGAATGCAATAAAAAATTATTAATTTTTCCAAACACATGTATGGAACCATAAAATCGTACTCCTATGTACGTTTACTAGTGGTTACAGGACCAGCATTTGTTTACATTGCACAAAGAATGAAGATGCAAGGAGCTATCTAGAAGCTAGGTGTATTAAAAGTCTCCAAGCTCATATAAAAAACCAATCAGTTCAATTGAAAAGATAAAACAAAGTCGTAAACAAGCAAACAATAAAAATAATAACAAAAGCATTTGTCATTTGTTGTTTGTAAGGATATAAATAAAAAAATGATTAAAATGAAAAAAACACAATAATTCCAAATCAATTGCTAAAAAAGGACTAAAGAAAGGACTTGAAAAAAAAAAACAATTTGGACAGAGTAATATGAAAAAATAAATAAAAAGATATAAAATATCAAAAAACAAAAAAAAAACAATTAAAAATTGAGTCGTTGATAGCAGAAACTATAAAGGATAACTGAAAATAAATTGCTGGAAACAAGTATCTCAACTGAAATTTCAAAAGAAAAAAATTCATAGAAATCATTTTTGCATTACAATTATTTTGTTGTTATTATTTTTTTCTTGTCAGTTTGTTTTTTTTTTCTTTTTATTTTTTTTTTTTGTTTCTCTAAGCATATTTAGTATTCCTCAATATTTTCGTAATCAAAATTGTAGTTATTTTGTTTTATTTGTGCTTGTTTATTTTAGATGAGAGCCTAGGAATGAATACTTACTTTTTTACTGCATTCACATTTCAATATCCATTCGATTGCAATGAATTTATTTTCAATTTGCATTTGATGCGATTGCAGATATTCTTGATCGATTGGCTCCAAAGACTGTGTATCCCATAGCTCTGCAGCATTGCCTTGCTGTTGTAATTGTTGCTCGGCAAAATTAATTGGATCACCGGCATTTAAAGGACATAACAGCTCAACCTAGAATTGTAAAGACGAAAAAAAAAAATTTAATATTGAAGAGTATTTGTAGTGTTATCGGAAATGTTGTTAAACGGAAATTGAAAATAAGAGAAGAGTGTTAACAGCATTTTACTTCATTCATTTAAAAACATATTAAATTCACAAATGAAATCAACTTTTGTTGTATTTTGAAACAAACAAAAAAAAAATACAACAAAAAAATCTCTTTCCAAAGATTGATGATTTCTGATGCAGAAAATTAAAAGAAAAAGCTAAATTGAAAATTGCATAAAGAAATTACAAAACTAAAAGTCTTGTTTTAATTAAATTTCTATTTAATGACATAAGCCCCTCAAACTATTAAAATCTCACAAAGTTCAATTCGAAAGTTATGAACGGAAATCGAAGGAAATTAATTTAAGTTGTTGAACTTAAAACCTTTTATTGGGAACGATAAAAAGTTCTATTGAAAAGGATTGTCCGTTGCACAAAGCTTCATGAGAAAGGAAATTGCATTATTCAATATTGACTAGGATATTAATATGGAATAAATAAATTAAATAATAAAAAAAATATTATGTGTAATTTAATTCGATGGAAATCCTATGTAATGTTAAATATTTAGTACATTAGAAATATTAGGAAAGTATTCTTTTTAATTATAACAAATGATAAATTGATATATTATCAAACGCAGATGAATACGGATCATGCTACTTAACTGGTTCAATTTACATTGCAAGAAAGCAATGCGTGATTGAAGAAAAGTGGATTTAATAAAAAATGGTAAGATTCAAAAATAAAAAAAATATTTGACAATAACTTTGACAAAAAAATAAGATTTTCAGCAAAAATAATTAAATAATTATATATAAAAATAATAAAAAAAAAAAAAAATAATTTTTTGTAAAAATTATTTCCAAGACCACTGATGAAGGGTATTTGGCAATACTCGAAACAGCTGTATGGTCAGCCAAAAATTCAATTAATTAAAATATTTAAAAAAAAATAATTTTTGTTGTTGTTTCACTTCTGTTCGAAAACCTCTTTATGTATATAAAAATAATTAAATAATAAATAAAAAATTAAATAATAAAATTAAATAATTAAATAATAAAAATAATTAAAAGTTTGCAAACAAAATCACGTTTAAATTAAAGGATGTATAGCAGTATGACATAAAACGATAAAGATTTCGGGTCAGTTGGGTAATGAACACTGACTCTAAGCGTCAAATTTAGCACGGTACGAGTTCAACCTTTGGTAGTTGTAATCACAAAGAATTATTTAGGAATAATTATATATAAGAAATAATTCCAAAACCACTGATGATGATTATTTTGCAATATTCGAAACAGCCTTTATAGTTAGCCAAAAATTTAATTTAAAATATTAAAAATTATTTGTTGTAGTAGTTTACTAGTGTTCGAAACCTGTCAATTAATATACAATAGTTTCTTTTAAGTAATATAGTCACTAAAATCATAACTGATATTGAAATGTAATTTAATAAAATGTTAAATTAACTGGTATATAAAAACTTGAGAAGTGTTTCTACAAAACTTTTTAGGTAAACTTTTTTCTAACACCAAGTATCTTAATACTGCATTATTTCGATACGTATTTTTTATATTTTAGTCTCAGGAATCATATCTACACTGTTCAAAAACTTTTCAGAAAACACATTTTGCGTGACTTCACGAATTTTTTTAACTAAAAATATTTTATGGTATTTAATCAGACAATAATACATATCCTACACTAGTATTTTGTTAAAATAGTAATTCAACATTGTAGAACAAAGTACAAGTTTCTTTGTACATATTTATTTCAACATAATGTTAAACATATCACATGTTATAAAAACCAATCCTTGAATCCTTATAGTGACGTTTCTGTTATGAACACAAAATGACGAATTGAGATACTTTCGCATCATAACCAGCTGTGAATATTTTCAAGCTATTTATAATACTCTTGGAAACTTATCGCCACTGCAACTGTATTTTGTTTAACCAATATTACATGTGTTTTACATGTTTACTTTAAACTTGTCAACAACAATTTTTCTTTTCAAAATACCAACAATTTCTATTTTAAGGAATCTTACAGATAGTATGTGGTAATGGATGAAAATTGAGATAAATAATCATTATTAAATTATTAAAAAATTTTCTATTTATTATTTCTGAACAATCATTTTTGTGATAGTAATGGATGAGAATTGAAATAAATAATTATTATGAAATTATTATTAACTAAAATTGTGTTCAGTGCTAAAAGTAGTGCAGTTATATAAATGAAATGATATAAATTTTTTTTTATGTTTACAATATTATATATTTATCATAAAAATAATTTCAATAGAATTTTAAGCAACTACAAAGTAAAACTTTCATCACTTCTTCATAATTACTAAAAATTTTATATGAAAACTGAATCGTACTTACTTGGATTGTTGTTGAAACTGAAGGCACACAGCATTTGCTTGTATGATGACAACGTCCACATAGTTTGGGACGATATAATTTCCTTGAAACACATGAACCCAAGCGTATACGTGCTGGTCCCAAGCGCTGTATACTCCGACATTCGTGCCCTTTCTACATTGAGCACATGTAGAAGGGAATGCACAAGAATTATTTCAAATAGAAGAAAGTTACACATTAGAAATGAAAATTAGAATTACAATCGAAAATTTTGTTAAAATTTTTAACCCAAAAGCTCAAATCCCAAAAGATGCTAACTTATTTCTCTTTTGGTAACCCAAAATTCAATTGTGTTTTTCATTTACGTTATTGTGCTAATTTTATTTATTTATTTTTTGTTTTTTATTTATTGTTTTTATTTTTTTGTTCAAGTTTAAAGTTAAAAAGTTCAGAAAAGAGCAATTTAAATACAACAAATGAATCCTTTTTAGAATGAATTTATTTTCTAAAAAATACAAAAGCTCTAAGCAGCAATGGCACAATCCAACAAGGGAGCATTTCATCACATTGTGTGAAAATCTAATATAAAACTTATAAACTAAATTGTGTGTTATTTTAGGATTTACTCACCCGGATTCGGTGCTCCTGTTCGTGCAATAGCTGTGCTGCTATTTGATAATTATCCTTAATATTCTTATGTTGACTGCTACTTATATATTTAGACTCACTACTGCTACTTAATTGTTTGTTTAATGCTATTAAATTGTTTTTATTGTCGAGATCACATTTGCGATTTTCACAAAGTCGCAGATTGCTTAATTGATTACAGCCTGCTGTGGTGCTTGTGAAACGCGTTGATACGCCCATGCCGCAGTTTTGTGAACATGGCGTCCATGGGCTGGTTGAGGAATTGTGGCAGGTGGCATAGACTACAATGACAGTCAATAGAAACGTAATTAGTTAGATATGATATACTATATAAAAATAAGTTCATTATATTTCCTTTTTCAATAACATAAAAGTTATGAGGATTAAAATTATTAACAACCTATTAAATAATAAACAATTTAGTAGTATATTTTCGTAATTATGTTGTTAATGTGTTAATGTAGTAACTGTATATTAACATAATATTGCAGCAAATTTCAAAATTTATGAAATAAAATTAACACGTGCATCATATGTTACATATACGAACTTAGGTTAAACTATGGTCGCTGGTTGATACAGCAGACAACTTAATCTATAATCTTAACTATTGGATTATTGGATATTTATTGTTAATTTTATTTCTCTTTATTTCATACAACGTAACACAACTTAACCAAATGCGAACTTCAGACTAATAATTACTACTATTATAAATAAATTTAATAAACATAACCAATCCCTTTTAATCATGACTGCCGCCCATCTACTCTTATCGTCCTGAAAACAATAAATGAAGATGCTTAATAAATTAAGCATTGTAATTAATTGAAAATATATAAGGAATAATGAATTTAAATGAAGATGAGCTACTTTTCTTAAGTAAAAAATATTTGTTCAAAGCTATATATTTTTATAGTTCCTGAGGATGAAAGTTGTAATTAATTTAAGTAAAATATTAAATATACACGAAAAAAATTAAATAATTTTAAATTAACAAAGCACCGCACACAAAACATTAAAACTAAATTAAAAATACTTGAAAAGTTTGTACAATCTTGGCTACTTGTGGAAAAAACACGACTAATCATCGCTTCTAACTTCACAGGCATGAGTTCTAAGCCTGGCATTTGCAGTTCAAATAAATTACATACGGACTATAAATTAATTAAAAAATTTGAATATTTGCTAAGAATACTGATGATGAGTACTTGACAATACTCGAAACAGCGTATGGTCAGCCAAACTTCAATAAATTGAATAAAAATATTTGTTGTTGTCTTTTCATTTGTATTCGAACCCTTCTGACTTTTAATTGAAAATGTTTGTAAAATTTGAAATAAAATAAAAACAAGTTTAATAAATTATTGATTTCATTGGACTCACATTATTAAATACTGAAAATTTGATTTTTATTTTTTGGTGTGGGAAATATATGGATAATACTAAAGTATATAGAGCAAATTTCAAAACTTTTTCAAAAAAAAGATTTTTGGTGAAGTAAAGACAAGTTGAATAAAATTATTGATTTTGTTGGTTTCACATTATTCAATAATGCGACATACTAAGAATTTTATTTTTATTTCTTATTATGGAAAATACATGAATTATAGTAAGTATATTTAGCAAATTTCAAAGCTTACTACATGAAAAAAAAAGATTTTTGGTGAACTAACACCATTTTCGTACCTATAGCTTATTTAAGATGCCAAGTGATTTATTTTGTAGAACAAAAAAATTATAATCTCAAAACGATTTTATGGGCCATTAGAATTTTATGGACTCCCAAAGCATCATATAATCAACATCGAATCATTAAAAAACCAATATATTTTGAACATGATTTTTATAATGTTTCCTTAACGAGTCGTTAATCTTTCGCTTGTTGTGATAAAAATAAAATTTATAAACGCAATCATAAATTTTTTCCCAAACACCACAAAAAAAGGAATTTTGGTTAAAATAAGAAATATTTGCACACTTCATTGTTGCTGATTTGTAATTATTTTGCTTATTTCTAAAAATATATATATATTTCTTATTGCACACTTAATTAACACTTTATTCCTTTCTGTGTAGTAATAATTACTAAGCGAAGTGAAATGAAAATGATTCGCACTCATATAAATTCTGTGCTAATTCTCCTTAAAAATCATTAGGTTGCACTCGAGCACCACTACAGATAAATATACTCATGCACGATTACTAAATTAAGGACACCACTGCACATAGTGATTATTTTTATATATATTTTTTATACTTTTTGTATGTCTGGCACTTACCATCAGCTGTCGGATTCTCACACAGCCACATTTTACAGCAATGGCCTGGTACCTCAACCATTCGAGGTGATCTGCATGAAATTGTATCCTCCGGTGCCGGAAGCTGTTCTTTCGGACACAACGATGAGCAAGCATGACGGCCATTCTGCGAAACGGTACACAGAAAAAACACAAAAAAATAAATAATATTAATAAAAATGAAGTGAAGTACAAAATGTGCTATGTGAGCAAGTGTAAGGCAAAAACAACATTGAAGTGTAAATAAAATAAAATTACCAAAATAAAGTCAACATTGTATAAGGACTTGTAGCAAAAGCATTATATAACCACTTTCCAACGTTTCTGCGGCCATATTTGTTGCTATAACACAGCAACAAATGAAAACACAAATAAAAGCAACATTACCAGGAGTTGCCATACTCACAAAACAAGGACGACCATTGTTACTGCTGAATTATTTGCTTATCTTATTCCACTGGTACCGTTTCTTCACTCGGTATTTTCCAATTTTTTATACACTCCAAAAAAAGAAACTCAATTTACGATTTAAATGAAATTGTGGCGAATAAATCGCAAAACAAGAAACCTATGAAGGTTTTAAGATGAGGAGCTTTTGCTTAGAAGGTGAAAAATGCGCATTTGAAAAGTGCATGGATTAAGTTTGCTTCAAACGCAACAGGGGGAAAAACAGAACAAACTGATTACAATTTCAAAATCTTTTCAGGTGTGGAGGTAACGATTTCAGTTAAGATATTATATATTTAAATTGGAAGTATTGTGATAAGTGCTTCAGTTAAGATTTGGAAAAATCTTGGCCTTATTTTTTTCTTTATTGATATTCTTTCAATTGTTATGAGATATGAGATTGGGCATGTGCTTAGTGCGAGACAACTCACTTATTTTGCACTATTTTATTAACTTAGTAATATTCTTATTAAAAAAGAAAATAAGGAATATGATGCCTACCCATCTACTTCTTTATTTCAATTTGTCACCAAAGTGCATGTAAAAAAATTAAAAACTTTCTGAGATTAGAACCACCTCTTGTAATATCAGAATATTTAATGCATGATAATATCTTGAAATAAAAACAAATTTTATATTCTTATATAGATGGGCTATATTTCTTATTAGGTATTATATTTCTTTCGGTATGCATCAATTACCTTGATATTTGTTGATAATTGCCCTAGCTGTTTCAATATGAAAAAGTGAAGCACTAAAGATATGTTCTAGGATAGGAGTATTGGAAAAATCACAGGATAGAACAGGAGACTAGTGTAATGAGAAAACGCAAATCTTTGCAATACTTGAGCGAAATTTATTAAAGTTGTATTGGAATGAATCTCGAATAAAATTATCAAAAGATTGGTGTTAAAGGAATTTAAACAAAACTGTCATAAAACAAGGGCAAGTGAAAAATTTCTCATCTCTCAGCAATAAGAATATCAAATAAAGTAGTTTCACTTAGCAGAACTCCAGTTGATAATTTTTTAGATCACTATAACCTCAGCCATCACCTTAATAAATCAGGTTTTCCATTCATTGATAACTATCGATTTTGTTGAACAGTATTGCAAAATATTTTAAACTACATTCTGCACAGGTTCCTGGTCACTATTCTGTAGTAGGTAAGTTGTTGGGTAATACCTTATCAATGACATTGTGAATTCTGTTCGTAAAGGACTGTAATCTTGCAATGTAATTTTTACCATCGTTAGACCGCTAACTTTGTCGATTCTATTCACAAGGGATTGAGATCAAGATAATGAAAAGCTCGTAAATAAAACTGATAGCGAAGAAGTTGGATTAAACCCGTGCATATTCTTGTTTTATATGCCGGAAGTAGTACACACCTAACAATCTTGGCTTGAAAGTATTATACTTTATAAAAAAATTTAAAATTTCATCTTATTTAGTTAATATACAATACAATATGTGCGAACAGCTATATATACCTAGAGTTATATATGCCAAGGTGCTAACAGAAGAGAGATATTTAAGGAGATGACTCCTTCGGGATTGTAGCTAAATCTGGCAAGCTGCTACCAATAGTAAGAAATTTTAAAAGACACTTGATACCTTATACCCGTCCAGAATAGCTAAATTTCCCAAGTTACTAACAATGGAAAGAGATTTTAAAAGATGATAGAAGCCCTATACTCCTCGAGCAACCCAGAATATGAAAGAAAGTAAGTATTATGTTAACACAATAATAAAACAAAATTTTTGAATAAAATATAAAAATATTGCATTAAATCATCAGAACTTAACAACACACATTTGTATCTTTATTTGGTTCTCTTTAAGACTTTCAAAACTCAGCACAGATTTTTTTATCAAAATCGATTTAAAATTTAGGAACCAAAGTTAATTAAATAAAAAGTACTACTAAACTGCCAAAATGCCCACATAAATCCTTTGTGTATTTTATATGCAATCCACTCTTGCTCAGTGCTGATAAAATGTTCTGAATACAGATTGAGTTCAATTTAATTGAAAACATTTATCTACAACACAAATAAAAGCATTCACACGTAGATACACCACCCGTACACCATTTGAAATAGAGTAAATGTCAACTTACCTCGCAGACACATTGTGTTTTGCAATCCAATTTGAATGTCTGTCCATGTGCATATGTTGTATTGCCAACAGTGCAGTTTGCTGTGTTGCGATGCGATGCGATGGGATGCGATGTGATGCGATGCAATTCCAACGGAAACCGGAAGTCATTTTGTTGTTTGCAAAACGCAAATGCCATAGAATGAATTTAACAAGAAAAATGATTTAAATTGTTATTGCATTCGTTTCGAAATTAAGTTTTACTACAATTTCGGCTATAAAAATGGGCACCAAGTGAAATGCCAAAAAACGAATAAAATTGAATTGCATTTCTTTTGTCTTGTCTTGCATAAGAAAAAATTTTGTTTTTTTTTTATATCTTTAAATTTTTTTTTGTTAGGAATATTGTAAAAATTTTATTAGAAACAAAACTGCAAATAGTTTCCTTATGCTTCACTACATATTCCCCCCATCTATGTAAGCACTGAAGTGTAAGCTTTTCTTTTCACACTCACAACATATGTGTTATTTAAATTATTAAGAGCCCTCAAGATAGTTGTGCTCCATCGGGTTTTATATAAAATAAAGTAAAATGAATTTTTATTTGACTATATTATGTATAATATTTGTTTTGTTTTTTAATAAAAAGTACTTTTAAAGTTATACAAGCAACAAATTTAATATATTTCTTTATAAGCATTGTTGGCTTTGCTTTTACTTAGAATGGTTATCAATTTTGTTATATTTTGATAATTAATTTTTTAAAAGTTTACTTAAAGGTTACCTGATATATTAGATCATTATGAGCCTTTATGGTATATTCGTCAGTAAATACATAATTGCAATTAAAATTGTGAAAATCGTACTTGGGAAAATGTTTGATATAAATAATTGAATTCATTTGTAATGATTTAATTTTACTGTTTAATTTTAAATAATTAATAATTCTGTAATTACTATAAATTTTATGTAAACTTTTATTGAAGGGAACGAAAATCTGAAAAAATTAAAAATTATTATGGTAGAAAAAAAAATAAATAATTGAATTAATTTTTAAATATTTAATTTAATTATTCAATATAAAAAAATTATTAATTATAAAATTACTATAAATTTTATGAAAATTTTCAACAAGTTTTAGCTTATTAAATTATTTAAAGTTAATTTTTTATGTAAATTTATGTCGTTTTCGATTGGTAAGTCTAAATTCGATCTAGATTTAGTCCCGATCTGTTAAATTTTGTTGCCAAATCGAACATGTTGTGAGTAAACTAACAGTTTTATGATATTGTTAATGAACACTCATATGTTTTATAAAAATATATATCGAATCAAAACACAGTTTATCCGTCAAATCTTATAAAACAGCTGATATGTTTACATATCATTTAAGTATTCTAGTTCATCTTTACTTGTTCTTTTTAAAAGATTTTATCAATTTTGTGTAAAATACAAGTTGCATATTTGTATTGAATTTCTGTATTGTATTTCTAAGACACACTATCTGCAACTCCATTAGCTCTATATAATTACATACAATAACTCTCAGGCTGAGAATCCAAATTCAAGAAAAGTTTTTGTATCATATTGGCAACTTTGTGCCATTGCAGAAGGCAGTAGCGGTGTTGGGAGTTGGCACGGTAAGGAGACGTTCTGAGAAACTAAAGGAATATAAGATCCAAAATGTGGTTTTCTCAGATTATGAGATTATATTTTTCTGAGGCAGTCATACAACAATGATAGTAGCAGAAAGATAGTACTGGCGTTAAGTGTGTGTGAAGTGAGTTGAAGTTCCAGAATAATAAAAAGGAGGTGGAAAATATTCAATTAAAAATTTAGTTTTCACTCAATTGTAACAAATGTTAGTTTCTAAGTGGTAAGATGCTTAAGGTTTTTTTAACTCAATTGTAACAAATGTTAGTTTCTAAGTGATAAGGTGCTTAAGGTTATATTAATATTTTTAACTATTATTATTATTGTGATAATAATTATTACTATCATAGTATTAATCCACAATTTCATTAATCCATATTTCATATATTTTTTTTCGGTCTGTCGGCTGAAATACAGCTCAAAGGTTTTTCATAAAACTTATGATAGTACCTAAAGGACGCCATAGTAACCTCCTCTAGCAGAAGAGGTATTCAAACTCTCCAAAATAGATTCTATACTACTTTTTTATTGATGCAACAGTGATTAGAGATCTAGTCCAAACCAAAAAGGAGACAAAATAAACCCTACGATCGCAGTGCCACATTCCATAAGAATAATAATAAACTTCTTTAGGGTGCTGGTAGTATTAACGTCGGCTCTAATCAAAAACCAAATCAAATACAGCAAACATAGCTGATCTAAGCACTGTAAATAACATCTCTCACTCAAATGTCTCCTGTAAATAAGTGTAATGTTATAAACTTATCAAAAAAAAAAACAAATCTGATGATATAATTTAACGATATAACTTCCGTTAATTTTACTGTAGGTTGTACTTTATAAGGTACAATCTATTTTTATTTATTTTTATTTTTTATTTATAATAAATGAAAAAGGTCTGTTTTTATTGTAATTCTTTAAATTTCAAAAAATCTGTCGAGATTAGAATCCTTAATTGAATTTACAAGTCTCAAGAACTTATAATCCGTGTTTAACCTTCACTAAAAAAGATAATATAATAAATAAGGATCAAAACTGAGCGCTTATACTCGTAAATATTGAAAACATAACTTTTTCCCTAATTATTTTTATATTAAATTTTTTTTAACTTTCAATTCCAATTTATGTTTCATTAAAAAAGTATGGCAACAAATTTCCAATAATTTATCAGTTATGGATTGTATGCCTTCAATGCTATAAATTTTCGCAAATTTCAATCTAACAAAATCAGTATAAAATGTCACGTCTTACGTTTTATAATCAAATAATTTTACTGCCACTAAATTGATAATATGTGACGTGACTGTAAAAGGGTATGAAAGTTCCTCACCGGCCGGTCTGCTGAAAATGGAAAATGGAAGAATGCTGTAAGCAGAAAATCTAAAACGAAAAATCATGTCAAAATGTTATTTAGCTATATTACATAAGTGTTGGGGGGGAAAAACGGCTTACATAAAAATGTTAGCATACTTATGCATAAATACAACGATTTATAAAATTGGCAAATAACCGGTGCTACAGGAAATGAAAGTTCAAACGAGTTATGACATTGACTTGCAAAGGATCTCATCAGAATTTGTATGTATTTCCACTGATGTATCATAAGTGACAGAACATTCAAATATTTACATTAAAGGATATATTAAATATTAAAGTTTTTCCACTTTGTTACTTTCACTCAGTTTTTATATTAGTTAAAGTTTTAGTTATCAAATGTAAAAGTATTTAATATAACTACTACAACAACTACTAGAAGTAATTAAAAGTTGATTGTTTGTAAAATTGGTTTAAAGTACTCCTTCTAAACTCTCATTACATTTTTAGTAAATTATGAAACATTTTCATATCAAACTTCTTTAAAGTAATTTGCGTTTAATACTCAATGAGTTAACCCACCACAAAGTCCCTTTTGCTTTGTAACTTTGTTCCTTGCTACCTTCACCACATATTAGTACTCGACATGCAATTACTCTCGAAAGTGCAATTTGCTAAATGTACTTCATGTTCGGCAAAGGCTGAATGAAGTATGCATAAAATAAAAAATAAAAAATAAAACAGTATAAGGTAGTATAAGGCAGTATAAGGAAAATCTCATTTTCATTCCAGTATTCTGGCTTGTCAACATATCAGTGCATATAGAACAAACTTTGTCTAATGCTCTGTAACGAATCGTTATCCTTAAGTTTACTACGAAAAATACCATTTTTTGCACTTTTTCTTCTTGTATTTTGTTCTGCTTTCCTCAGCTATCACTTGCTCTAATATAAATTTTTCTTCTTTATTTTACTTCAGTGTACTTATGTGCTTATGAAGTTTATTTGTATCTACTAGAATGAAATTTTTTCCTTATATAAATATGCAACTGTGTATTAAACTATATGTTGCTCCATATATGTTCGTTTTTTCCAACTTATTTTAGTTAGTGAACACAAAAACCTTTTAACTTTATGCCGTCCATTATCCTTTTTTGTCGTCTTAGCAAAGGACATTCTTTGGCAATTTTTTTCTTCTCTTCTTGATATTTTATCATCTTACAGATTATGCTCAGCTTTTTTTTTTATTTCCTTAAACATTATCACCATGATTGTGTATCACAACACTTATGCCATCAAATACAGTATCTTTCTGTTTCGGTTTTCGTACAATGTTCTAGCAAGTGTATCTGTATCTTTTTGTTTTTTGTTTTTGTTGTTGGGTCACTTGTTACACTATTACTAGCACATATAAATATATAGCAATTGTCGTCATATATAATATTTGCGATATGTCCTTATTATATATACATGTACGATATGAGTAAAAACTCATATCCTGCACATACGTGTGCTTGTATTGTTATTAATATTTGGTCTGCTGTTTGTTTATTATTTGAACGTTGGAACACGATGAGAAGGAAAACCAATGTACTCCGCCTTGAAGTATACCACCAAGGTTTTTTCTTTAAACAAAAAAAAATTTATTTATTATTGTAAATTGAAACTCATTCAAAACAGTTGTGGGAGCAACTTTTATTGTGTTTATATATATTTTTTTTTTCTCCTGATATAGTAGACTTAAGATATTTAATTCTGATTTTTCACTCATGGAAATGTAAAGCGCAACATTTATGTTAATAGTAGATAAAGTAAAAATATATGCACTATAGGAGTACAAATAATATATGGACACAACTAGTTCAATTCACATTTCGTTTTCTTCTATAGCAATGTGATAATTAAAATTTCTGCAGTTATTGTAGCACTCCATTCATAATTTGCAGTCAGCTGCATAAGAAATGTCAAGACTAAAAAGAGCATCAAATTATAATTGAGACATAAGTCCATGTTCATACACCTATATATTTACATTTTAAAAGGCTACTTAAAGTTTTGGAAATGACTTATCAGTTTTTACTCATAAAAGTAAAGGAACTCCAGAATAAAAAGGATTACTGAGACAACATACCACGATTAACACAATCCAAATCACTTATTGGTACCTACAACAATAAGAGATACCAGGATTGTATGAACCTATCAAAAGAAAAACTTAAAATCATCACAAGAATCCTAACAGGGCACTGTAAACCAAAATATCACCTTACAAGATTGGGTTTACATACGAAAAAAATGAGGCTATACATATGCTGCAAGAATGCCCTGCTCTAATGTGCATACGGAATAGGCTCGTGGGAATGTATATTCTTATGGAAGAGGCAATAAAACTCCGTAAAGTAGGTTCTATACTACTTTTTATTCACGCAACAATACAACAAAAATCCAAACCCAGAAGTGGTCAGAATAGACCCGACGGTCGCAGTACCACATCCCCTAACAAAAGTAATAATATCAGCTTTTATATAATAAATTTACTGATCTCATCATTAAATCATTACATCATTTAGCTTTAATAATAATATTGGCAAAATATCATTTCATTTTTTATTTGCATACTATTTGAAGCTGGCAAGTCAGTGTTTGCACATTGGCTACCGAATCTAATGGTTAATAAATAATACACCAAAAATTATTCAGATCGGACATTGCCAACAACTACTGAAGTGTTTTAAAAAAAATTAACAGGATTTTATGTATCATTGTGTCACTACAGATGAGACTGGTATGTATTGAAAATAACCTAACAG